ACACAGTGACTATATGACAGGTAAAGCACAAAATCAACTACCAACTTGCAATCAAAACTCAACACTTCACAAACAGAGCAAATAGTTCCTAAATTTTCTAGCACAAGCAATGGTTGCCAAGCAATGATAACCCCCAATCCTAACAATCACCCCACACGATGATCTGCTAATACTGAAATTTAAAAATAAGTTAAGCCAATATACCAGAGCGGACTATCTGAGTCCGTAAATTATGAGAGTTGCGAATTTATCACTTTAGGACCACCACTATTCGTCCTAAAGTCTCTGGAAACTGCAGCAACCAAAAAATCACGATCGAGTCCCGAACGCCCGAAGAACAATGCTGTCCAGATTCTTCTGCGTACCCTGAAACAGAAAACTTTCAACACGAAAAATGTCAGAAATAATATAAGGAACAAACTGCCTGAAGAGACCGTCTCCAAATTCAACCTCACCCGCCCTCACGCGCGGCCTCTCTTCTCTGCGCGTGGGCTTCACGCGCCTCCACACGCGCCGCCGTCTCCTGACACGTGCCGGCCTGCAAGGTTCACCTCCTCCTGCACGTCACGCCAGTGGTCTCCGTTTCCCCAAACTGGTTCTGGATTGGTCAGAAAACACCAAAACAGAGACTGATTTTTAACAGTTTTCTGGACAGTTTTTCGATCTGAATTCTGCCACGTTTCTGCCGATTTTTTGGATGATTTCTAGTAGATTTCTCGAGCCAAAACCTTCACCTTGAAACTCTGATACCAATTGTTGTGGAAGCTTTCTCAAAAGGATCTTCAAACGGTGGTTTTCCAAGCTCAGTCCAACGTACCTTTCTCTACCAACAACCAATCCAAACGGCTCCAAACCACAACCAATTGATTCACCTTGGTTGCTATACAATCTTACCCACGTAGGACAAGAAAGGATGATGATTTATCGCCACAAAGGCTAAGAGAAGACACCACAAAGGTATACTATGAAAGAACCACCAATTGCACACGTTATACAAGCGTTTTGGACACTTCTGGACACCTTTTTCTCACACAAAAGGGGGGGCAGCCGGGATTCACTAGTTTCTTCTCTCAAAATCACACAATCATCATCTCAAAGAGGCTCGGATTATATTCATATATATACTCTAGGGTTAGGCTTTAAGTTGGGCCATTAAAGGGGTAAATGGGCCAAGATTCAAGCCATCCATAAGGAATACAATTGGACCGGGTGTAGCTCATGAACTTGGTTGTTGGACTTATTTCATTCATCGGTCTATGCCTATGAAATAATATTAACCCACGTTAACATCATAGCACGAGATTTATTGGGTATCAAAAAACCCAACACCAAGTTTACATCGAGATCTATCATGGAGTATATTTGGAATGGGATTATTCAAAAATCGATGGCACATTGCTCTGATCCATATGATAAAGATGATATTGCATGAAATCCTACTTCTGTTGCTAAATAAATTCTAAAAATTATATTTTTACTTGATTCTGCTTAGAAGCTAAGGAAAAGTGTCTACGTCGACTTTTGCATAACGGCAGAAACATAAATACCTTTGTGAGATTGAGAATGGGTTACAATTTTTAACTCTTATTAACCTGATTTAGTTAGCATTTTGTGTTCTTCTGAACAAGGGATGCAGAACAGAAATTTTCCCAACCTTTTCTGAGTTGATCTGTACCAAAGCCGATAACCTTATCAAACTTTTAGATCAATGAATACATAACAGTCAATTACATGTGATTAACCAGGTGTTAATGCAGCATTCAAATTTTCCAATTGGTCGACTTAGCCCTTTACTCCAGACGGTTAGGGATCTTAGTATCTTGATATCTCGGCAAGAAGTACCTTCTCCATTTCTTATTATCTTCTAAAGCTAATTTAGTACACAGGACCTATGGATTGTGCTCATATGATCATCTGTGAAGAACGACTTCTTGGCAATCAATAATGCCCTTGTTTGAGCCCCATTTTTGGGGAAGAATGAATTTTTGAATAGTATATTGATGGAAAATGTGTAGTTAAAAAATAAAGAAAAATTTTCGATTTGTGTGTAATATTATTTTATTGAATAACGTGTGGTTGAAATGATGTTAAAACAATATCGGAAAATGCATTTTTCCAAAAGAATGGGGCT